TGGAGAAGAGGGGACACATGTTGATGTAGAAGAGACATGAAGAAGAGGGGACACATGTTGATGTAGAAGAGACATGAAGAAGAGGGGACACATGTTGATGTAGAAGAGACATGGAAGAAGAGGGGACACATGTTGATGAAGAAGAGACATGAAGAAGAGGGGACACATGTTGATGTAGAAGAGACATGAAGAAGAGGGGACACATGTTGATGTAGAAGAGACATGGAGAAGAGGGGGACACATGTTGATGAAGAAGAGACATGAAAGAGGGGACACATGTTGATGTACGAAGAGACATGAAGAAGAGGGGACCATGTTGATGTAGAAGAGACATGAAGAAGAGGGGACACATGTTGATGTCGAAGAGACATGAAGAAGAGGGACACATGTTGATGTAGAAGAGACATGAAGAAGAGGGGGACACATGTTGATGTAGAAGAGACATGAAGAAGAGGGGACACATGTTGATGTAGAAGAGACATGAAGAAGAGGGGACACATGTTGATGTAGAGGAGACATGAAGAAGAGGGGACACATGTTGATGTAGAAGAGACATGAAGAAGAGGGGACACATGGTGATGTAGAAGAGACATGAAGAAGAGGGGACACATGTTGATGTCGAAGAGACATGAAGAAGAGGGGACACATGTTGATGTAGAAGAGACATGAAGAAGAGGGGACACATGTTGATGTAGAAGAGACATGAAGAAGAGGGGACACATGTTGATGTAGAAGAGACATGGAGAAGAGGGGACACATGTTGATGTAGAAGAGACATGAAGAAGAGGGGACACATGTTGATGTAGAAGAGACATGAAGAAGAGGGGACACATGTTGATGTAGAAGAGACATGAAGAAGAGGGGACACATGGTGATGTAGAAGAGACATGAAGAGAGGGGGACACATGTTGATGTAGAAGAGACATGAAGAAGAGGGGACACATGTTGATGTAAAAGAGACATGAAAAAGAGGGGGACACATGTTGATGTAGAAGAGACATGAAGAAGAGGGGACACATGTTGATGTAGAAGAGACATGAAGAAGAGGGGACACATGTTGATGTAGAAGAGACATGAAGAAGAGGGGACACATGTTGATGTAGAAGAGACATGGAGAAGTGGATTTTGCACAATATGTGTCCTTTCACTTCCTATAGAACAGTGTCTGTAAGCACTGAGCTACAGTAGCGCACTGAAGGTCCCGATGGAGGGTCTTACATCCAGGCAGACCCTCCTAGTGGTTACTTAGCACTCAACACGAGCTACCAGGCTCATGTCTGTTGTTTTCGTCCTTTTCTTTTCTTTTCTAGTGCTGTCCGGCGACCAGATGGGACAAGGACAGTCAGGGGTTGTTGTTGTTGTGGCGTTTTTAGAGTTAGCTACCTCTGTTACTCAGGTGGAATGAGTTGAAAACGTGCTGCTCTGCCTTGCTTATGATGCGAGTCAGAACACGGCAATAAACAGCAACTAACAGCAGTGTATTGCTTTGCTACCGTTCCCGTACTCTTTTACTCCAAACTGGGGCATGCAACCACCATCTACTGTATGTAATTAACTAACAATACTCCCTCATAAACAACCCTACTGAACTTTTATCTGTAATCTCGAACAGATTTGGATAATGCTTTGAACCAAATCTAGCTATTTCTAGTAGTCCCGGTCAGATAATCACAACCGACCAAAACGTCAGCCTTAACGTGTGAAAGACTTTAGTTTACTGTCTCTTTAAATGACAATGCTGGACACACATTGGTTGTTGCGATCATTAAACCTCTTAAAGGTCCGATATGATAATGTTTTTCATCAATATATTATAGGTCTCAGATATATACAAAACATGTCTCTGAAGTGTTTGGCTCCAAACACCAAACAGATCATTGTAGCATTACCCATAATCCCCTCTGTTTCAGCCCTGTTTCCAAAGTGCTGATTCTCTGTCTGTTACTTTAGATGAAAATAAGGAGCCCCTCCCCACGCCCCTCTGAGAGAGATTTGGTTACAAAGAACTCAATGGTGCTCTAGGAGGAGATTCAGGTGATAAGGTGGGGGGGGGGGGGTTACCTTGGTTGCTGATTGGCTAATGGTTACACAAGACAACACATCGTTATGACATCATAAAGTGGCCAAAATCTGATCAGCTCATTTTCAGACAGGTTTTTATAGAAATGGATCAAAAAGAGAGAGAATCTTTGATCCTGAAACTTTCAGAGTCTATTTCCACAGAGGGGACACATGTTGATGTAGAAGAGACATGGAGAAGAGGGGACACATGTTGATGAAGAAGAGACATGAAGAAGAGGGGACACATGTTGATGTCGAAGAGACATGAAGAATAGGGGACACATGTTGATGTAGAAGAGACATGAAGAAGAGGGGACACATGTTGATGTAGAAGAGACATGAAGAAGAGGAGACACATGTTGATGTAGAAGAGACATGGAGAAGAGGGGACACATGTTGATGTAGAAGAGACATGAAGAAGAGGGGACACATGTTGATGTAGAAGAGACATGGAGAAGAGGGGACACATGTTGATGAAGAAGAGACATGAAGAAGAGGGGACACATGTTGATGTAGAAGAGACATGAAGAAGAGGGGACACATGTTGATGTAGAAGAGACATGAAGAAGAGGGGACACATGTTGATGTAGAAGAGACATGAAGAAGAGGAGACACATGTTGATGTAGAAGAGACATGGAGAAGAGGGGGACACATGTTGATGTAGAAGAGACATGAAGAAGAGGGGACACATGTTGATGTAGAAGAGACATGAAGAAGAGGGGACACATGTTGATGTAGAAGAGACATGAAGAAGAGGGGACACATGTTGATGTAGGAGATACATGAAGAAGAGGGGACACATGTTGATGTAGAAGAGACATGAAGAAGAGGGGACACATGTTGATGTAGAAGAGACATGAAGAAGAAGGGACACATGTTGATGTAGAGGAGACATGAGGAAGAGGGGACACATGTTGATGTAGAAGAGACATGGAGAAGTGGATTTTGCACAATATGTGTCCTTTCACTTCCTATAGAACAGTGTCTGTAAGCACTGAGCTACAGTAGCGCACTGAAGGTCCCGATGGAGGGTCTTACATCCAGGCAGACCCTCCTAGTGGTTACTTAGCACTCAACACGAGCTACCAGGCTCATGTCTGTTGTTTTCGTCCTTTTCTTTTCTTTTCTAGTGCTGTCCGGCGACCAGATGGGACAAGGACAGTCAGGGGTTGTTGTTGTTGTGGCGTTTTTAGAGTTAGCTACCTCTGTTACTCAGGTGGAATGAGTTGAAAACGTGCTGCTCTGCCTTGCTTATGATGCGAGTCAGAACACGGCAATAAACAGCAACTAACTACACATTAGCAGTTAGAGGTTTCTCCGTTTATAAACTCGTTGCTATTTTTGTGTTGTTTAATGTCATGTGAGTTATTATTATCTAGTTTCAAAATACAATTGAACTTAAAGGGGACCTATCGTGCAAAATGCACTTTTTGATGTCTTTGATACATAAAGATGTGTCCCCGGTGCGTCAGGGAACTCACGCAGCGTCAGAAGATAAAACCCTCTCTCTTTTCCTCCGTACCCAAATCTCTAAAAGCGGGGCTACAACGGAGCTGATCCAGATTTGCGTCCGATATGACATAATATCTGAAATGTGGACCCACGGCCCAATCAGAAACGTTGCTATCAGAAACAATGCCCGACTGTTTTGGACGTAATATGGTCGGTGTTTACATTAGCATTGCTAACACTCAGAGCTAACCTGTACTGGAGAGCATGTGTGTGAAGAAGCAGGAAGTAAAAAGGAACTCACCTTGTGGTATAACCGGCAAGAGAGAAAGCCTTTGAGCTCCAGACTGTTTCAGAAACAATCCTTGATAATCCATGATATGGCGTTTCATCACGGCAGCATTTAGTTTAGATGGTAGCTGCCGGGTCCCGCATGAGCTCAGAGCCCTCCTTTATAAAGCTTTATACCCCAAATCAGCACTTTTGAAACAGGAAGTGAAACAGAGGGATATGAGGCATGGCTAGAATGGGTGATCTGTTTGGTATTTTGAGCAAAACACTTCATAGACATGTTTTTAATATATTTTATATATCTGAGACCTATGCTAAAAATAGCATGATAGGTGACCTTTAATCAGGTCATTTTTTACTTTAATAGCATACGTATTACCTTTTCAACTCAAATCTACACATCTAATGTAGTTTAGATCATCGATAAAGGCTTTTTGGATCAAGTGTTTATGGGAATATTGACCAGGCTCCATTATCTAGTTTACCCCTAGTAAAATAGGAAACCAAACAACAAGTACCAAACCAGAACAAACACATATCACCTTTTATTTATTTTATCAGGTTATCTCTTTGAAGTCAGGGTCTCTTTTTGTGAGAGAGAGGAACAATACATACTGCACACTTGTATTCTGTAGATTTGTATGCAAAGAAATGTATGGTTGTATTACTCTATTAACATAGGATTTGACCATTCGAGCATTCACTGTTGCATATTTAAAACATTTCCCCAGTTAAAACAGATTTCCAAGTGTCTGGTCCCGGGGGCTTTTCAGAGTAGTGAGTCGCTGCCATGTGACGGGTGTGTGTGTGTGAACACAGTGACGGCTGCTCGAATGCAAATGAAATGTCATTTTAGTGCCAGCTGATTGCCTCGCTGTGTTTTCACTAGTGGTTCGTAATCAAAAAACACTCTTGAGACTTCATCGGATGGAGACGCTGGAATGTCAATAAGGAGGACACACAAACACTCACTCGCCCCATCATCATCATCCTCCCCCTCCCTCCCCCTCTCTGAAATACCATCATGCTGCAAGGCAAAGTTCTAGTGACATTTAATTAGGAAGTTTTCCTCTAATGTTGAGGTCCGGGGAAAGAACACGCTCTCAGCTGACTTCTCTGCGATGCTTGCACTGACTGTTAACACTCTTCAATCAATCTAACCCTCTCTTGTTTCTTTCTTCTGTTTCTAATCCAACAGTTTGTGTGCTGTACACCCAAGGGATAGCCAACAGGGAATGGAGAGAGGTGAGTGCAGGGGCAAAGGTGGTGGGGGAATCATTTATAACCGGTGAAAGCTTCAAAGTACCTCTAATGGCAGCCTTTCAGCAAGTTTCTTTTGGCTGTGACCCAGCTTACATTATCTGTTATAAGTTCATGCCAAGTATCCTTCTTTTTCCTTTCCCTCTTCTTTTGTTATCCTTTTTTATATATATCCTGCTTACTTGAAGTAAACGGTTATTTTGTGTTTTTTCTGTAAATATTGAGTGTTCTTGTTTTTAACCCTCTGGAGTCTAAGGGTATTTTCTCGATTTTTAGATGTTTTCTTAAATCACCTTTTAAATGCATTTCTTCTAAAATGCCACCCATGTGTTACATATCAAACTGTTCAGGACAATCTCTAGTATTGCTATATATGCAAATTAGTCACCTTAGAGCACTGTTTGATGAGATAAGTAGCTCAAAAGCTTAAAATTTGACATCCGATTTTCGGAAAATCTTCAAAACTCTTGTGAAAACACACATTTACTCATGTGATCGAATTGTTTTGGTGTTTTAGATTTGGTTACCAAAGTTTTAGGATTACAAAAGTAGTGAAATATTTGAATTACACTGTATATAAATGTGTTATTCATGTCTAAAATGAAATTTTATAAATTCGAATTCTGAGTAAAACAGCTGTCAATCACTCTACTTTCACCACAGCAGGGACTGAGATACATCAGGACTGAATAATGACTTCATATTACATACCAAGGTTCATGTGATGTGGACAAAAAAAAGAATTGAGCATTAGAACTTTTTTTTTCAACCAACAATTGACGGTAAGGTGTTTGTGTATACCTCTGGACTGTGGGAAACAGTATTTCGGTCTTTCTGTGTGTACAAACATATTTTGAGACTGACACTAAAGTTGACTTTGACTACTTGCTGAACAAATAACGTGCAGGCTTTTTTTCTGCACGTATTAGTAATGTTTAATGAAAATGCTTCCTTTGGGCATTCATATTGAAATGTTCGTGTAGCAAAAATAGATGAAGTAAGTGCCGTGTAACTAGAGGTCTTTGCAGGTCTTCTTATTTCCCAGCAAATGAGACTCGGGCCCTTAGTAGTCCAGATGAAATGTATGTGGTGTTGTTCACTTTCTGTTTGGGTTGATTGCATTTTAGAACAGGTTTAATTACCCTCGGGTCTCTTTCAGATCAGGAGCCTGTTTCACAAAAGTGATTTGTAAGCACTGCTTACATGCATATTACAAACAAAGGCAGCTTGACATGCAAAAATAATTGACGCTTGCAAAGTGCAGATTTGTTTGTGAGTGCTCCAGGGTCACAAGCACTGGTTTAATTAGCAAAACGAATAATGAACGAGAGGAAGTGATCTTAGAAAAGTTCCTAGGTCTCTCTTTTAAAACATTAAAAAATATATGACCAGTGTTTCCATTGGTTCATTTTCTTACCCATTGTCCTGATTGTACGTTTAGCATCAGTCACTGAAACAGTTTAAACTAAACTAACTTAATGAGCACATGAACGTTTTTGCATGACTATTACAAACCATAATAGCCATTTGACCACAATAAAAAACATATTGAAGCTTTAACGGCAATTTATAGGTAACAAAAACATTGGAAGGAGTCCGGATGGAGACAAAAAACGGTTATACTGAAGAGGCCACAAAAGTTTGGCCTTAACCCTTCGATGCCCGAGTGACTGGACCCTACACTCTTCCATAAGTGGGTCAAAAAGGACCCGTATTTGAATAATATGTGTTTTTATGCCATTTTTGTCATTTTGGTTAAGAAAAATCACTTGTATTATATTTTGGTTCACACTAGAAATATTTTATATTTCATTTTTCACTATTTTTTTACATTTTGAAAAAAAAACGTTTTCAACATATTGATGCAAAGATCTCCGCTATTCTGAGACCCTCACAGTATTCCAGTTCCTTTTCAAAACTCATCTCTTCTTGTCTACTCATAGCCCCCCCCATCAATCCATGCTGGTTGATAGTTTGATAGTCCTATACCCCCCCCCCACCCTAACCTTCCCTTATATTGTAAAGCGATTTTGAGTCCTTGAAAAGCCCTATAAAAATATAATGTATTATTATTATTATTATGACAGGTATCAGATCTTGCCGTGTAAAATAATCTTCCTGAGAGGTGTCACTTGTGATGTCGTCTGTGTGTCCCACAGTGAATGTATTCCTGACAGCCACAGGTGATAAGAATCAAAGGTTCCCAAAGGATCCCATAGAAAATGCATGCGGGTCATTTTTGACCCACTTATGGAAGCTTGGGGTCGTAATACAAAAACTACAAATTCTTAAAATGTATCAAATTTAAATGTAAAATGTGGATGGCTTGATATCCAAAACATGTTTTTTGAGGAATAGCTGGAATATGAAATGATAAAAAAATGTAATTACAAAGATACTTCAAGAAAACCACCTCACCGGGTCAAAAAAGACCCACTAATGCATCTAAGGGTTGGGAAAGGCCATATTGTTTACCTTCTACATCTCAGACTCATCACTAAATTGAATGAAATGAGAAACCAGTGTTTATTGTTAGCTTCAAGTGACTCTTAGACACTTTTTGGACATTTAGCTTCCAATATATAGAATATTGTGTTGTTAAGTGCTTTTTAAACAATTTTGTGTGAACACTGAACAGCGGTAGAATTCAAATCAAATGTTATTTAATGTCCAATATCACAAAACACATTTGTCTCAGGGGAATTTACTGATCAACAAACATTACATAACATTGTAAAAATATATGATATGATTACCAGGCAGAAAACAAAATTGCAAAATAGAAAATGAAAAAGCTACTATAACATTTGTGATCCAGTCCATTGTCCACATTCAGTATGTATTACACTAACTAGAACTGTATTATACAACATTATACATGGGGGGGGGTTCTGGTCACTGTGTCTCCTGGTGTGTAGTTTGTTGAATGTGTGCTGCAGCCATTAACCAAAAGGTCTCCTCTCTCTTCTAGTTTGGCCGAACAGAAGTCATAGACAACACCCTGAACCCAGACTTTGTCCGCAAATTCATCCTGGACTATTTCTTTGAGGAGAGGCAGAATCTACGCTTTGACCTGTGAGTTAACAATTGACGTGTGTGTGTGTGTGTGTGTGTGTGTGTGTGTGTGTGTGTGTGTGTGTGTGGTGTGTGTGTGTGGTGTGTGTGTGTGTGTGTGTGTGTGTGTGTGTGTGTGTGGTGTGTGTGTGTGTGTGTGTGTGTTGTGTGTGTGTGTGTGTGTGTGTGTGTGCATGTGTGTGTGTGTGTGTGGGTGTGTTCTGTGGTGTGTGTGTGTGTGTGTGTGTGTGTTGGGTGTTGTGTGTGTGTGTGTTGGGTGTGGTGTGTGTGTGCGGTGTGGTGTGTGTGCGGTGTGTGATTGTGTGGTGTGTGGTGTGTGTGTGGGTGGTGTGGTGTGTGGACTAGCATTACTATACTTGTGGGGACCTAAATCTGTTTACACAGTCACGTGTGGGGGACCTCGCCTCCCTTATGGGGACAAATTGGAAGGTCCCCATAGGGGAGTCATTCATTTTAGGGTGAAGACTTGGTTAGGGTTAGGGTTAGGGTTAGGCATGTCTTGGTTATGGTTAAGGTTAGGATAAGTCTCCAGGAAATGCATGTAAGTCAGTGTAATGTCCCCTGAAGTGATGTATACATGGTATGTATGTGTGTGTGTGTGTCTTAGCGTATTTGTGTGTGTTTGACGTATATGCGTGGGTGCTGCTCTGTGTGGAGCAAAGTTGAGCTTAGACTGAAATATTCATGGTCTGCACAGAAAGAGATGTCGTGCTCTCCCTTTTAAATAAAAGACACGTTTTCATGCCACTTTTTCCTCCGGTGTTTCCATTTGAATTCATCCCGTTCATACAATGCATTGAGACAAAATAAGGTGCTCATACACTTGACATTTTGTGATGATTATGATGCATGTTCAGTATTGTTCATTTCACGTTGGCATCCATTGAAAGCAACGTTTGTCCTCACAGCAGTATGTTAATAGAATCATCAAGCATCAATGGAGAAACCTGCATAAGGCATCCATTTGAATGGATTTCGGCCTCTGCCAAACTCATTATATCTTTGTACAACATTCTTTTATTACATTTGTTTCCAATTTGAATAATGTTTTAGGATGCTATGCAGTTAAATGAAGCCTTTATGAGAGTAACAAACAACCTCCTTGCTACAGCAGATGCAGGAGATTGCTCGGTCTTAATCCTTTTAGACCTAAGTGCGGTTTTTGACACAGTTGATCATACAAATTTAATTGAGTGCCTTAAGCAGTGGGTGGGTATCCCCGGGTCAGCACTGACTTTGCTCAGCCCTTACTGCTCAGAAATAACCAGCTCTGCTAAAAACAGATGATTCTTCAGCTGCAACACAACAAACAACGTTAGGGCCCCATTTTGAGGCCCCATCGTGTGTTCCCTTCATTTTCCTTTGTAGTATCGTTTGTCAACGTCATTTCCTTTTTAATTGTTTGTTGATATTCTGAAGATTTACCAGTTTGTGTTATAATATGAGGCAACAGAACAGAAAATCAAGAATTGGATGTCGTAATCTTTTCCTATCTCCAAAATGAGATCCCAACTTGAAATGTGATCAAAAGGTTTTGGCATCCATAAGATGAACCAAAATCTGTCACACGATATTTTTAAAAATTGGCTTTTTATTGAGTCTGTGTGTTTTAACTTGTACATTTATTTATTTATTTATTTTTTATTGAGTCAGGCACAATGAGTTTCCATTTATACAGTCAATATATACGCTTTCCCCCACTCCCGGTCCTAGCTAGTAAATTAAATAACTAACTACATCAATAGATACATGTATAGGTAAAAGTAAAGTAATGTAGAAGATAATATTACAAGAAAATTAATAGATAAGGAAATAAAGAATAGTAACAGTAATACATGTACCCATATACTCACATATGTATACCCACATATACACATACATGTGTGTACATACCCACACACATGTACACATGCACATACATACACGTACATACATGTATACAAAGACAGAAAAAAACGTGTACATTTTTAACAATAATTGGTCAACAATGAAGTGAGAGACAAGGTCAAGTTATCGACCATGTTGGTACGGATAGATTTGGCGGAAAAAGCCTCTTCTATTAAATCAATATTAATAACAATATGAAACACCTAAGTATGTAGAAGTGAAAATGTAGAGTTGTTGCTATTTTTCTTTTTGATATAAAGCTGTAGTTATTGGAAAAGTTCTGTAATGTAAAACAGAAAATTGGCAACATTGATTCTTTAGCTTAAAGGTGGAGTAGGTACGTTTCAGAAACCGGCTCGAGTGCACTAACATTTGAAAGTACACAGCCGAAAAGAATCCGCCCCTTCCTTCAGACTTCCTTACAGAGCACCTCCTCCAACACACACGAACGCGCAATGCACGCCCAATGACGGCACGCCCAATGAGGGCACGAGATACATTTGTGCGTGCACGAGATGGAAGGCTGACAGACAGGGCCGGCTAAAGGGATTGGTTGTACTTTTTAGAGTATTACGGCTTCCACAGATGACATTTGTTAATGGATTTTTTGTCAAAGCACTTAAGATATTGCTATCGGGATGTTAAGAGCATTCCCTGGAATATAACAAAAAGTGTATCTCGAGCCGGTTTCTGAAACTTACCTACCCCACCTTTAAGCTTTAAGGGGCTCTTCATGCTCATTTTCAGAGTTAATAGATGTATTATGTGCCTCTACTGCAGGGATCAGCAACTACATTTGTCCAAGGGCCAAAATGTATCCAATACATACTTTCGCGGGCCAGTGGGGGGGGGGGGGGGGGGGGGGGGTGCCAGTGGAGCACGCTCAGGTATTGCAGCGCGCATAAAGCTTAGCAGACTCTTCACGCTAACGAAGGATCACTTCTTCTTCAGGGCAGGGAAGGCTATGCAGTACGCAGGCTACTGCTACAGCTGCTGCCTCTCTGTTGTACTGCACATTACTCACGAGTCGTAAAAACAATGGAGTGGGAGGCGAACGCACTAACCACTCCGCCAACGCCACAGTCTCTCCCGCCGTGCGGGCCGGATGAGAATCAGACAGTTTTACAACATCGGACCGACAGTCGCACATATAGGCTATAATGTCCGAATACAGCATCTAGCTACACCTGAATAATGCTTATTGTACTTTTATCCATGTTGAGAGTGAAAGACACACAGCACAGGCACAATCTGGCAGCGGGGTGCACTGACGCTGATAAGTGGATCAATAAGTAGGTGGACAGCGCGTGGTGCTGAAATAGCCAACATGCGGGGTGTGGTTTAAAAAAAATAACACCAGCTCACTAAATCATTCAAACGTAATGTTTGCTTAGGATATCAAAACATTGACAACAAAATCGGAGAAGCCACTTGATCAAGGAGGGCGAGGGGTGGCGGTGCATATGCTGCCACCGCAGCTGCCACCCCAGTTGGCAGCTTTGTTTTGAAAGAAAAGTTGTGGCTCATCGGGACATTTATGAGAGAAAATCCCTAATGTCCGAGTGCAAGGGAATGCAGCACAAGACGCGAGCCTTGTAACCCCTCCCTGGCGCGAGTATGCAAAAGTGATTGTCGGCGATTTCATTTGAACGGGACGGCGCAAAACAAGAAGCAATTTAAAAGATAAGTCTGTTAAAATACAGATAGTAGCCCTGGCTTTTAACATGGGACAGACATGGGGCTAGAGAGGACGAGCCTCCTTTTGGGCAGGTCTAACCAGAGGCTCTGGCCTTTGATTATGTTCTGGCCCGCTATCTAGTGGCTCAGAAAAAAATTGGCCCAAGGCCAAACTTACTTGCCGACCCCTGCTCTACTGTGACATGTTTACATCCTTTAATGTTCAAAAATGTTTTTAGAGCCCAGTCTGTTCGGATTGGTTAGCAGGCCGGCTCTGTTGTGATTGGGTAACCTTGTGGAGATGTCCCGCCCCTTAGCCAATCGAAGCGTGAGTGTTACCCAATGATGTCACTATGTTACAGAAGCAAACCAAGGAGTCCAATGGAGGCGTTTCAGCTATGGGTGGAATGTTTGAGAGAGAAACTCCCACTGGAGGGAACTTTGTGATTTTAGCCTTTGCAGACCATTTACATGCACCAAAAGCTAAATAACACACTACAGGAAAGGGAAACCCCCATAAAACACAATAGGGCCTCTTTAAAAAGTGAGCCGTGCATGTGAGTGACAACGAGTTGGATAATGTTGCTGATTGGTTCATAATATTTAAGTGCATTGAGATACACGCCAATGAATTCTGGTGTGTGATAGAGACACGTTTACTTGAGCTAATAATAGAATATTTACATGTCCTCCAGTCCACATCAGATACACCTGTATTTTGTGTCTAGTGCTGTTAAAAGTTTAAAAAAGTAACATTTCCTCATGTAGCCCCAAACGTCGAGCTGTCCAAGTCATTATGATAATGTGAATTTCTTCTCTGTTGTTTTCCAGCCTCACGCATTTCCACTGTATTTCTCAATGGTTGCTCATGAAATATGGAATGCCTCTTTTGCTTGTTAGCCTGTCAGTGGGGCTCCATGCTGCTTACAAGCTGTAGGAGGTTATAGTGAAGGTCAAGGAGACACGCTCACTGCTGGTCGTGTGTGTGTGTGTGTGTGTGTGTGTGAGCAGTACATTGTATTTAAGGTGTATAGTATGTATACTTTTAGGCATGTATATATGTATGTTCATGTATATATGGATTGGTATTTGTGTGGAGGGGGTTGTATAAATCTCAGTTTATGTGAGTGTTTTGTGTGTGTTGTTTTATACCTTTTTTAAGGGGACCTATCATGCAAAATGCACTTTTTGATGTCTTTTATACATAAAGATGTGTCCCCGGTGTGTCAGGGAACTCACATAGTGTCAGAAAATAAAACTCTCTCTCTTTTCCTCCGTACCCAAATCTCTAAAAACGGGCTACAACGGAGCTGATCCAGATTTGCGTCCGATATGACGTAATATCTGAAATGTGGACCCACGGCCCAATCAGAAACGTTGCTATCAGAAACAATGCCCGACTGTTTTGGACGTAATATGGTCGGTGTTTACATTAG